TAGAAATTTCAGTCTCCTCCATGCCTTCTCAAATAACCCTAGCTCTCAGGAAGCTTGAATGGCGAGGGACCTGAGGAAGCATAATTTGACAGTGAAATCTGGGCAAGGACCTTTCTGTTCAGGTCGGTGTCCAGTCTCTCAATGGCTGGGTGCTAAGCTTTATGGCTTAGTCCTCATCATGTAGGCTTCAGCATGATCAATGTGTGTGTGTGTGTGTGTGTGTGTGTGCGTGTGTGCGTGCATGCGTGTGTGCGTGTGTGTGTGCGCGCGCGTGTGCGTGCGTGCGTGCGTGTGTGCGTGCGTGTGTGTGTGAGAGAGAGAGAGAGAGAGAGATCGATACATATCAGTTGAATGTTTTCCAACACACTTTTCCCTATAACTTCTGTGTCACTGTGTTTCAGAAGACTAGGTGTTTATTTTGATGTGTACAATCTCTGCACATCCCTGATATGAACTGTGTGCTTCTCTTGCAGATTGGCGGACGGAACAGTTCCAGGCCTGTGAGTGACTACGTGTTCTTTCTGGGTGCCCCTTCTGCTGCCCCTTTGTCTTTTGGCTGCTTCTTATGTTCTCTGTGATTGCCCAGGTGCTGGCACCATCAATGGTGGTGGGGTGGGTGGTGGAGTTGACTGTCACAAAGCTGGGCCTGGTCCTCAGCAGGCTGTGACATATCTAACCATCAAATCCATCTCCTGGTTTCTTCCTCGGCTTGGAGAGCGTGGACTAGAGTCACACGACTCCCATCTCAGGGTTCCCCCTCCCTTCCCTGTGCAGCTAAGCTGGGGGCCGAGGGGTATGTGCACCCTTGTTACGGGGCAGGGGAGGGCCTGCGTGATTGGTGTCTCTCTCCGCAGGGTCTGTCACTCTGAATGCAGGCTCTGCCCATTCCAACCTGGCCATCTCTCAGGACAAGAAGAGTGTGACCTGGAGTGACACCTGTGTTGATTCACAGGGCATCTTCAGTGTCAGGGGCCTCGAGGGCATCCCGTCAGGGCGATGTTACTGGGAGGTGGAGGTCAGGCATGGAGACAACTGTCAGTGGGCTCTGGGGGTCTGTAGGGAAGATGTGAAACGTACAGAGTGGCACAGAGAGTGTCCAGAAAAGGGGTTCTGGGTTATGGGGCGGTATGATGACGGATATCGCGCCTGTACTAATCCTGATTTAACCACTGAGCTGCGCCTTAGGCAGGCTCCCCATAGAGTGGGAGTTTTCCTGGACTACAGCGAAGGGGATGTCTCCTTCTATAACATGACTGATGGCTCCCATATTTTCTCCTTCCCTCCAGCTTCCTTCTCTGGGACGCTCTTTCCATACTTCAGGCTTATGTCAGGAGATGTGTCCCTGACCCTCTGCTCCGTGGTGGGTGGGCCCAAGGGGCTCCCTGTGCCCCATCACATTTCTTCTTCTCTGGAGGAGCCGGAGAGCTCCCCGGGGGAGGGGTTCGGCTCAGGCTCAGGTGTTGGTGGTGCTCCCCCAGGGGTGGAGTCGCCACTGCTCCCCTGCGGCCCTGAGGCTGTGCCCGTCTAGGGCCATCACAGTCCCTGACCCCTCCCTGTGTGGTTCTTCTGGGAGCTGCAAACCTCTGAGCTGAGCCCTGGGCGGCCCTGGGAGCCTCGTGCTGTTCTGAGTGCAGAGCCCGGGCAGGTGGTTATGAAGACAGTCGGTCCGTGCCTGTGTTCAGATCGCAGAAGATAACAGTTGACTGTTGTTGGAACTGGTCTGTGGCAGGCTGAGTTTAACCAGGAGAAGTCATTGTTCTTTTGATATTAAAAAATATTTCAGCTTTGCGCAATGGCAGTATTATAGCCAATGAGGTTTATCTGAGGTGCATCATTGTTAATTGAAAACTTTTCACAGTACCCCACAGTGACAACTTGCAATATGGTCAGCACTGGCAATTTTTGATTGTTCCTACGGGGACTGATTTAAAAAAAAACAAGAGAAAGAAACAAATATTTCATGGGGCTTTTATACTGTTTGGGTATGAAAGGGCTGAGGGCTGAATTCCTCTGTAGAATAAAGGGGAATTCACTTTATCTAACCTGCGTTTGTGCAGAGGCCCCAGCGGCTGGGGTGGTCGAGTTTGGATTACCTGACCAGAAGGGTCGGCCGT